GGGAGAAGGGGGCCGGGAAAGGGGGAGGGGAGGAAGGAGTAGAGAGTACAAGCAAAAATGTCGTACAGGGAGGCCCAAAACCCCACCCAGTAACAAATGAGAAGGAGGGAACGGGAGAGAGGGGCCGGGAGGAGAGGGGGAGGAAGGAGTAGGGGCAGAAAACAGAAGGACATGTAGGCGAGAGACGGTGGAGGGTTTAGAGTCAGATAATAGCTCTGCATCTGATAAGGTACTCTGTCAGCCGTTAGCAAGTACTATATTATGCCCGAAGGAACAAATCACCAATCCCCCGACCAGTCACAACTGTTTCTACCTTTGCACATCCAGTAGAGAGAGAGAGAGAGAGAGAGAGAGAGAGAGAGAGAGAGAGAGAGAGAGAGAGAGAGACAATAGGCATTTGGAGACCAAAAACGACCAATCACACCGACTACTCACAGCAGAGAGACGATTGGCATTCGTGCACATCCAGTCATGGTAGAGAGACGATTGATTGGCATTTGGCCGGTTTGCATAACCATGCAAGCCGACCTAAGTGGACACCACATGCTCAGCAATGGCCAGACACTCGATCACACCAGACAGACTTTCCCTGGGCAATAAAGTAGTGATAAAGTGATAAACCTTAGCAGAAAAACATCTCCAACACAGACGGCGAACAATTCTATCCAAACGAAAACATACAATCACACCACACACACTGTCCCTGGGTAATGAACTAGTGATAAAGTGATAAACCTCAGCAAAGAACCCTGCCCAACACAATCTGCAAAATAATTATATCCAAAAAGAAGCCCACAAACCTAGACTCCAATAACAAAATACGCAACAGACACACACACACACACACACACACACACACACAGAGACCGGGAGATGGAGACACAGAGAAAGCCCTTTAAAAACGTTGCCACAGTCATCTCTTCGTCAATCCCTCATCGTGATCAGACCGAGAAGACTGGTGGAATCGCCAAAATAGACACACACAGAGAGAGAGAGAAAGACCGCAAGCAGAGAACCCCCAGGTAGCTTGACAGCTATGCATCGTCATTCCGATATCTCATCTGAGTTCGTTCTCTCTCTCTCTCTCTCTCTCTCTCTCTCTCTCTCTCTCTCTCTCTCTCTCTCTCTCTCTCTCTCTCTCTCTCTCTCNTGTGTGTGTGTGTGTGTGTGTGTGTGTGTGTGTGTGTGTTGTTCTCGAGCAGGAGAGGTCCTCCTACGGTCTCTCTCTCTCTCTCTCCGTGTGTGTGTGTGTGTTGTTCTCGAGCAGGAGAGGTCCTACGGTCTCTCTCTCTCTCTCTCTCTCTCTCTCTCTCTCTCTCTCTCTCTCTCTCTCTCTCTGTGTGTGTGTCCGTGCGTGTGTGTGTGCGCGCGTACGTATGGATTCTCGAGCAAGAGATACGCTCCTACGGTGGCATGCCCAGTGATCGGAAGGTAGGACGCACAGCGGGAACACCTGATACAGACGAACATACGAGCTCATTTGTATTTTCTGTAAGAGAGTAGTTCTTCAAAATCAATGGGCCATATTACCCGGTCAAGGAGCACCTATCATCCCCGCTGAGTACGAGATGTCGCATTCATCGACCACAGCGACGGGCCATTCGCCTTACTGTTGACGGCAACAGTGTACGCCTTCGCGGCCATTAACGATCATTAACGGCCATTAACGACCATTAACGGCCATTAACGACCATTAACGGAATGGTACACGGCGCCGCACCATGTTCACTGACTTTTTAATAAGATAATAAAAATATTGAGCCACAAAAGGAGGTTATTTCATTTTTTTCTACGATTGTAAACCATTACCTATTGCCTAAATAAACTTAAATAAAGTATAAAAGATATTGTTTGTATGGGGTAAATTTTATTATTCTTGTCAAATCTTTTTTACCGATCCGTTAATTACTCGTACGCGTGGCCATTGAGCACTTGGCTTCAAGCACCACACATTAACGCATCACATTAACTTCTTTGCTACACCACGTCATAATTAACAAGTAGAAAAAGAACGCATGCCAGCTGCCTGTCCCGACTCCACATAAGTCGGTCTTCTATACTGTCTAATGCTCGGTACATACAAAATTTCATCTCCATGTTATCTTTTTTTTTTTTTTTTTTTTTTAGCGATCTTTTTTTTTCACGTATCTTATACTTTCGTTAGGTACGAAATTTTATCTATTCTATGTTATCTGTTTTCTTTTTCCCCCTTACCTTTTGTCTGCAATTCCAATGCTATGATGCTATCAAATTTTCCGTACATACAAAACGACTATGCTATCTAAGGGGCTAGATGCACCACTCACCATCCTCCAACACTTCGAACGCATCAGGACAAATTCCAGGTTCAGATTCATTCAAAATGTTATCGTCATAGAGATATCAGGGCGCAAAGAGGAAAAAGACAAGGAAAACAAGAAAGAAATCAATTACATGTATATATACATATCGTCAAACAAGAGAGCTGCCTACGGTTTAGGAAGGGAGGAGGACAACAAACGAGGGGCTGGGTGACAAACTGTTTCGTTGGAGTTTCACCGACGATATAGCCTCCTGATGAGTCGGTGAAACTCCGACGAAACAGTTTGTCACAGCCCCTCGTTTGTTGTCCTCTTCTCTCTCTCTGCCTACGGTTTACCGGGCAGTTCTGTTTGTGACGAAATATATATATCATACATATATATACATATATCGTCATATATATATATCCATGTATTATACATATAGACAGCAATTCAAAATCCTCCAAATAAAAGCAGTATGCAAATCGAATGCGTCATTTTCCTTTTCTTTTTTGGTTTGGTTTTATTGTAAGGTGAACATGCAGGCCGGAAGGGAGCGTCGGAGGGGACGACAACAAAATTTTCGATAAGAGTTCAGGGCCTACTGAGTTCTAGAATATCGCCTTCATCCTCTCCCTTAAATTGTCAAGCTCTTCTTGCATATCGATTCTTCTAATCGAAGGGCATTAAACGGCAAAATAGGTTTCTTTCCGTCATAATATATATAAAAAAAAGTAATAATAAATTATTAATAATTAATAATTAATAACAATAACAACCACAATAATAATAATAATAATAATGACTGCGATGCTCAGTACATATGCAATTCCAACATTTCTATTTCTGTCAGCTCGCATCAATACGCGCATGCAGTGCACAGAACAGACACCGCCAGGCGAGTAAATATGTAAACCCACCCAATTACAAATGCAGATATATGGAAAGTTTGGAAACCCACCCCATAGAAAATGCACATGTACGGAAGCCCCCCCCCCCCCCCCCCCCCCCCCCACCGACAAAAACACAACAACCCCCCTCCCCGCCGAGCCTACCAAAGCACCTCCCCCCCCCCCCCATCTTAAAACTGCAGATGTATCGCAAGCTACCCCATTAAAAAATGCATATGGATGTCTTCAATACGGTACCGTTTGCATCACAAGCGAGTGCAGAACAATACAATATGCATATACAAAATATTGAATTGAGTACGACAAAAACATATTCAATAGAGTACCAACAAAACACAGCAGCAAGTGCAATAGGATACCTGTCTACAGTAAGCGGCAAATTTCTGGAGGTACCAACGGGCCTACCTTCTTCCCCCAAATACTAAGGTCATCATAGCTGTATGTGAGGCATCTTTCAGTCTAGATACAACTATAATGACCGTACGTTGTATTCAGGGGAAGAAGGTAGCTCAGTTGGTACACCAATGACCTGTGGAAATACAGACCTGAGTTCGAATCCAGATGGAGCCAAAACGACCAACTTTTAAGGATAAAAATTCATAAAATCATAGAAGAAAAAAGGACAGGAAAAGAAAAAATAAAAGCAGGACCCCAAAAAAAGAACGAATCATCATATCATACACTCGACAGCCTGAAAAATTAAACAAAGAGAACGGAATTGCTTAAAGCGAGAATCGAAAGCAAGCAATACTCCAGTGACACCGATTTCAATCACATATCATAGCACTCCAATTCTGCATGCAAGCGAGATTGCCTTTGTCATCAATTACGTCTTCAACACCCAGTCATCATCAAAAAAAAAAATCAGTTCTTAATCATCATAACAATTCGGTGTCACTGGAGTATGATGATGACTGGGTGGAGACGAACAAAAAACAAAACCAAAAAAAAACGAGCTGGAAATCACATAAATCATCATAAAAAAAGACAGACCTCAGTTCTTTATCATCATAACAATTCAGACCTCAGTTCTTAATCATCATAACAATTCATCACAAATCATAATAAGTCATAAAAGACAAATCAGCATAATTTTCCTTATCATTTGAAATCATCATGTGTCTTAAGAATAATCAAAAAAATCCCTCATGAATCATAAAAATTCATAATAATAGACAGTTCTTAATCGTCATAGGGACCCGGAGGGAAAAAGATACAGGATACCTTTCTCGTCCTTTTGGCTAAGATCAAGTGTAGTATCTGTTCTGATCAGTTTAATATCTGATCCGTGGTCCATCGGACCATAAGAAAAAAAAAAAAAAAAGATACAGGCACAGCCTACGGATCAATGACTCGGATGTTTCGTCTTGTATGTTGTACTTGAGGGACGCTGGACCCGGTTTCCAGCAGGTGCCGCTCCCCACCAATAGATGGAGCAGCCCGGCAGATAAGACCTCGATTCTGGTGGTTCTCTTACCACCATCGGAATGGAGGGCTTACACAAGGGTTCTTAAACCAAAAAACAAAAAAAAAACAAAAAAAAAAAACGTTTACCATACACAAGACGGTTCTTCTTCTTCATCATAAATGATGATCACAAAGTCTAATCGTTAAACATCACCGTAAAAGACAATTCCCAATCAGCGGAAAATAGATAGAAATCGGCAGTACAAAAAATAAAAAAATTAAACACGCGAGTCGTTCATTGCTCAGATCACCATACAACGTGAGGCGAGAGAGCAGTCAAAAGCAAATTCTCCCTAATCATCATTCATTACTACAATAAATACTTTAATAAATATATACGATTCATCACCCGTCAAACAAAAATGGAGTTTTCTACGCAACTCAATCGGGTTAATTCACCATTTTCATAAATCTTTTTCACCATTTTTATAAATCTTTTTCACCATTTTTATAAATCTTTTTCACCATTTTTATAAACCTTTGCGACTACAATAAATAATTTAAAATATATGCATACAATTCATCACCCGTCAAGCAAAAATAGAGTTTTCTACGCAACTCAATCGGGTTAATTCACCATTTTTATAAATCTTTGCGACTGTTTCGGGTGGGGTAGCGTCAAATTTAACGTAGCATCCTAACGGATACAACCATCATGAATAAAAAATAAAATATAAGGGAAACTACGCGGGAATGACAAAAATGAGTTATAATTGCGCTACGGGCCAAGATACAGTTTCGAATTGCAGTTCCGGCAATGTATACAACCCAGCTTTCTGGCCAGGTAGGGTGCCTGAAGTGCAAATGCATACTGTATCTCGCCCCGTAGTGCAATTATAACTGGTTATTGTGACTCTACTGAAGTATCTCCTAAAATATATGATTCATCAGCCGCCATCACAGCGGGTGAGGGGGGGGAGGAACATTGTTCTACATAATCATCATAGTAAAATGATTACATCACCGTGTCAATGATTAAATAGACTGTATTCAATCATCATAAAACACAAACATATTATTCATCAGCCCGCCATTCATGCAAATGTGTTATGAGAGAGCGGAGAAAACCTCTCTCTCTCTCTCTCTCTCTCTCTCTCTCTCTCTGTGTTGATTGTCGATTTCTCATACTAAAGTAGTTAAGTGTATAAATTACGTAACCATTATTCATGGGCGGTCTGGGTCACGTTCGTTGCCCGGGCGCCTGGCCGGGCAAGGGACACGCCCGGGCAAGGGCCAGGAAAGGTCCCTAGTAAAAAAATACGAGAGAAGGCTATGTTGTTTAGAAAGATAAACTGAACAGCTTTTGCCTCAGGGTCACAGCAAATTTTCTTTGCCAAATTATTAAAAAAACGAAAATTTCTCCTTTTTTTTCTTTTGGCCCGGCCGGACAAGTAGTCCCGGGCTATCCTGGTAAAGTTCAAACTATAGACGAACATCCACGACGCATAAAGAAAAGAAAATATATTATCAAATTTATCATTCATAAAATATACCCACCAAGCATACCCACATGCACAAACAATGGCAATGTTTCTCAGAACGCATCCTACACCCAGTCGCGTACAACTGCTCATCAAGCATACCCACTTACACAGACCATAATGATATAACTCCGATGTCATAATGTACACAAACACTTGCGTTGCGTATACAAATTCTACATCATATAAGTAATAGACGCATACAAAACAGTTTACCAAGGATCGAAGCAAAACAACTAGAGCATTCAGTGGCTGATTAAAATCATGAAATGCAGTCGAGAGGGAGGGGGAGAAAAGCAGATGAGAAAAACTTTCAAAGACAACATTTCAGGACAATCAAAGTCAGGCAAGAAATAGAGAGCAAACTCCATTCGCGGCTATCAAAAACAAAAAAAACAATAAACGACACAGAAAACCCATGTTAAAACAACGGGCCTAGCTCAGTTGATTCACCCCTGAACTGTTGAAATACAGACTCACGTTAAAATCCAGATACCTTGAGATGAAGAGAATAAAATCGTTCTGAATTGCCTGGGCCCGGTCAGTTCAATGATGATATCTAAATGCCTTGAAATACAGACTCACGTTAAAATCCAGATACCTTAAGATGAAGAAAATAAAATCGTTCGTTCTGAATTGCCTGGG